AGTCTTGCTCTTTTCCCAGCGTTTTTTGCAAACTAGGGGTCACAGGAATATTGTTGAAAGCTGCTAGAATCGCTTCAAGAATTTTTAAACTTTTGTAATTTTTGTGTACTTGTCAGAGTTTGATTAAGTATGCAGTTGGGTACTCTGAAAGTGCGGTAACTCCTGTTGGTGTAATGCAGTGATTGTTAAGTGAGCAGGAGTCCTCCTAACTGGGCTTTTGGACACCAAAACACACTAACGTTGGCGACGAGTTGCAGCAAAACAAGAACATATTTGCAAAGTTATATTGATGTATAGGAACTTCAAGTATGAAAGAATTTATACCTAGTGTTAAGTTTGTTCATAACTTGCATTACAGTAAATTTTTTTAAAATTCAGTGGTGAGGAAGAAGGCTCTGAAATTTTTTCATTAAAATGGGCCCATCCATTACTTGTATTAGAGATATTCTATTTTGTGCAAATTTTCTCCCATCAATTACCCCCATATCTACCTCTCTCTCTCTCTCTCTCTCTCTCTCTCTCTCTCTCTCTCTCTCACACACACACACACACACACACACACAGTTTTAACTTTTGGAAGCTGGTCACAACAAAAACAAAAACACTGGAGAGAGTATTCCGGAGAAGGTCCTGACTTTCCAGTGGCCTTAAGAACAGCTTCTTTTCCATAAAGCAGTAGTGTGCCCCTAAAGAGTGAAGCTTCCAAGCTTGACCAGAACTCTTAACTGCAAACTAACCCCTGACCTGTAGCCCAGGAGGAGTCAGGTTTAGGTTCTGGTGTGGGCTCCGCCACGGCCTTACACAGGTGGCTGGCAGCCGCTTCTTACTACTCAGTTTATACTAATATCCATTCCTGCTGCTCTCACACTTGTGAGGATCAGGTATTTGTCTAGCTCTGTTAAAACAGAAAATCTTGACACATAGGTAGTTAAGTTCCCTGTACTTGCACTCTTTTACGCCAGTTCACTTTACGGTAATTACTTGCTTGAAAATCTACCTTCTGCGTTGTATGAGTTTTGTGAGGTTCCTCGTTATGTTCATGGTTTACCTGTGTCCTGGTGTCTGATACATTCAGCAGGTACCTGTTGAATGAATGGAGCTGTTGATGTCCTGAAGTGACTGCAACCACAGATGGTTTAAAGGTGTGTTAGGAAATCATCTCATGAAATCACCACACGGGTGATTTTTCTTTTCTCTTCTGAGAAATTGATGGTAAAGCAGTTTGCGTGTGGAGTTCAGATTCCTTCTCTAGGAAAAAGGGCTTTGCACACTAGGGGGCCTGCTCGCCACACTGTTGAGCTGTGGAGGACAGAGCCATCACCATGGTTTCCTGCGGGTTTGTGATCATTGTGTGAGCTGCAGGCAGCAGTCGGCATCAGCGCTTATGAAATGCTAAGCAATTCTATGCACTTGTGCAAATGAATGGGGGGGGGGTTCCTCTTGAGAGGAGGTGATGGGAGACCGTATGACTAGATGCAAACTCTTCAAAACCCAGCCTAGTGATGTTTAATTTAATTCAGCATTTCCTCAGCCGCCTTTTAAAATGCTTGCCTCATCTGTTAAGCATATTTCATATTCAGTTTAAAAAATATAGAGCAAGGCATCATTTTCTAAAGCACGTGCTTTGAAACTCAGGGTTGTGAACCTTCCCCGGAAGTGACTGGCTGGGTTTGGAGGGTGGTGATTCCCTCGGTCACTTAGCAGGACCATTACTGACATCTGACAGGCTCAAAGGGGGCAGTGGGCAAAATGCAGACTAGGTGAGGCTCATTCTCTGTCCTGTCTCTGGGATGAATAAACCCAGGAGCTCCTAGTTTGCTGGGCACGAGGGACCATGAGCGTGTGTGCCCTGGATCTGAACATGGGGTTGGCAGTCAGTGCCAGAGGACCAGCCACTCCATCATGGAGGACGACGTGATGCCATCACCACAGCATCAGTCAGTCATTGGTTTAGTGTGGCCTTCCGTTTTTTTGCCTAGTAATGAGGTTTATTTTCTCTGAGCCATCCACGTACTTGCCTTTTCCCCTGGTGGCTGCAGACATGGTTTGTGAGACAGTTAGGGTAGGGGTGCACTTAATCGTTTAAGTACTTGGTGGCTCTGACCTCATCTTGTTATAGATAAGCCTGAGGCTAACTACCAACATGAGATGCTCAGGTCCACCATTTAAACTCTGATCACAGTCTACAGTTCCCTCAATTTAGTATCAGAGAAATTGAATCTAGAGATAGGGGAAGTCAGGGGGTGGAATTTGGCTATGTAATTGGGATAAAGAAAGAGTGTTAGTAGCTCAAACTCTCTTTTTCCCAGTGAGATCTTTTTCTCTTTTTATGGTGAACCTAAAGATTTGACTTCCATTCATCTGATGGGTTAAGGGAAATACCTGTCTTTCGTATCACTTGGTACTTAAAAAAAAAAAAAGTACCAGCAAAAACTGTTTTTTGTTGTTTTTGTTTTTTTTTCTTCAACTTTCCATGGACAGTAATTTTCCATGAAGTCCCGATCTTTCAAGGCTGTTCCTTTTAAGTGTCCTGCACATAATCTGAGATAGAGGCAAGCTGTCCCGGGATTTGATCTGTTGGCCAGATTCGCTATGCTTTCTGTAACGAAAAGTATTTAGCTGCCTTTTAAAACCACATAGTTCCTATGGAAAGAATATAAATGGGGAAATAATTTCCATTCTTTTTTTTTTTTTTTACTGTTTCAGGAGGTCAGTTGCTCAGGAAGCAATCTGTCACAAAGCTGCTCTCAGCATTGGTACTGAACACATACTGCCCTTGTTAAGAGATCTCCCTCTCTCCCCCCCCCTCTCTCTCAGTCTTCCTTCTTGAATCATCAGCTCTGCCTTTCACTTGGGTTAAGTGAAGCTTTTGTGTACTTCATCTGTCTTGCTCCTCTTTCTCTTTTGGACCCCATATCTTTCACTCTTACATGTATGCAAACCTCAAAAAATCTTGGCTCCACCAGCTACCGCACCCTCTCACCTGCGTCTTAAAGTCTCACATTTTCGGAGCACCCTCTTTCTTTTGAAAGACAGGACCTCAGCAAGGGGATTGACTCTCACTGGACTTTATTATTAGATAGCTGCCCTTTTGCTGTAATCCAAATCCAATATGGCAACAAAACAGCAATGTAATAAGAATGATTAAAATGTCGTCATATGGGGAACTGGTTTTAGGTCTTTTAAATGTTGTCAATAAAGCTTCCACCCTGTGACTCATTTTGATTATATTCATTTGAATGCCAGCAGGGGCTCAATGAGGATAAACAGAAGCTTGCCTGGGTTCTCTCGTAGGCGTGTACCGAACATTTGCCAGGTAGCCAAGCATATTCTGAGCACTAGGGATACAGAGGTCAAGAGGACATAGCCTTCACCCTCAAAGAGCTTCCCCTCCGGTCTGAGAATGTCACACTGCCTTGGGAGCAAATCTCTGGTCGTCAGAGGTGTCAAGGAGGGTTTGCAAGGTGACTCGTCAGCGGTCGTGTCTGACATCCCCCCCAGCTTCTCTGCTAGCCGGGGCCTGTTCTTCGCGAAGAAGAAAGAGTAAAATTGTACAATTTCTAAAGAACTGAGCTTAAAAATTGATTACGAAGTAAAGTATTTTTCATGCTGGAGACATGTGAATGTGATTGAAGCCTCTAACAAAGATGCTTGTGTTGCAGGCCAAAGTCACCCACCAAAGCCCGGCGGACTCAGGCAGCGCCTTCCGAGAACGCACCAGGAGATCGCTCTCGGGCAGTCACCTTCCCGAGAGGAGTTCGGCTGACAGCCCCAGGGAGAGCCTGAGGGCCAAGCGAGGCCGGCTCGCCCCCAGCCCAGACGCTGGCCCCGGGTCTAGCGAGAACTGTAGGGTGCAGTAGAGGAGATTTCGTGTGTCAGGACCCCTGATTGGTGGCAGTAGTTGAATAGAAAGCAGGATGCCTCCAGGGGCCTGTCATTAGTCAGAGAGCCACATGATCAGTGGGAAGAAAACATTCCTTATAAATCTAAATACGTTGTACTTTTTTAGATCTCCCATTATAAGTGTTAGAAAATCATCCCTGACAGCCCTCTTCGGTAATGTAAACAGTAGTGTAGAAAGCTCTTGGGTAATGTTACACTAAATGGCAAGCATTATATAACAACTTCCGTTTGTGTGTGGATCTTACGCCAAAAAAAAGGCAAAACACATTTTATACTTCCATTTAACAGCTCCCAAGAAAATGTAAACTTTTGCTCTTTATGTTCATGCCTATGTGTAGTGTTAGCACAAGACAGTTTTAGATGGAGAAGTTCTTTGAGCTGAGTCAAATGAAGAGGAACCGTGGTATGTTTCTAAGGAACACACATGGGTGTGTTTGTCCCCTTTCCACGTGTTCTCTAAACCTTTGCTTGTGCAACCTGTACATATTTGTGTGTGTGTGCGGTGGGGGTTGTGTGTTTCTCTCCGCTTACTCGGGTTGCAGGCTCCTCCAAGGTGTGCTATATCCAGTTTTCTGTCATTGTGATGGTTTTTTTTAAAGACTCGCTTGGTGTGCATTCTCACAAATGGTGATCTTGTATTTAAATATGGCATTTTTTTTCCTAATAAAAAAAAATCACCTGTGTATTCTGTGCAAATGATTCCTCAGTATAAATGCATTGTGAGCGTGGGTACCACTTCTTGCCACCTTCAACAGCCTCTTACAAAAGTGAAACTGTTTTGACAAGTGATACTAGCATATGTAGCAAACATCGTCAGTTATAGTAAAAGGCATGGCTTGGAATGTGAGTCATGAAGATTGTATGGGAATATACCATGTCCAGCCAGTGCCCGGCATGTTATGTGTCCCCACTAAATCGTATCAGCAAGGATGTGTGTGTGGTATTTTCCAGCTCATTTTGGTGACAGGGTTTTGAAAATATGTAGGCATTATGAGCCATAGCAAATCTGAAAACTTTGGAACAAGTCCCTGTGTCCTTGAAAAAGCTTTCCAGGACATGAGCTCGTAAAAGATCATTTGCTCTTGGCTTTTGGCTCGGGTTGATGTGTAAACCTTGACCAATACTCTCATTTATAGTTTAAAATTGTCCTTTGCAAGGTGGCCTCGATTGTTGGATCATGCTTCAACACTGTTAAGCTACTTAGGATTCATCTTCCGAAAACTGATCTCCTGACTCTCAGCTGCTCGGGGTTGTGCTCTGGTGCAATATTCTTACCATAAATCACCCCAAGGCTGCCATGTGCTCAAGGGCATGGCCCCGAGTAGACGGCGCTGGGACCAGGCCATCGGCTTTATTGGCTGTCCCCAGTTACTGGAAGATTCCACCGAGAAGGTCTGCCTGGGTAATTCCATGGGTCCTTGAGAGCATCTTCATCTTTTCCTGGGTGGACCGCAGCTGCTGCTGCCGGTTCCAGGGACGACTTTCCATGCCTTCTGTTTTCGTAATCGTGGGGAATCGTTCACGTCTTATAATGGACAGCCAGGACATGAAATATTTTTTTTCCTTGAGCTAACAGAGCTAACAGTATCCTAGGATGAAAAGTAAATATGCTCTAGTCCCAATTGTGAAGTACCCAATAAACCAGTTGAGTCACAAATAAGATCCCAGCTGACTAATCATGTGGGGAAGAGACCAAGCCCAGAGGTCTAGGAATCGGATTCTCACCTGTACAATGAGGGGCTTGGCTGAGACAAGTTTCTCTTCTTGAAGATTCTACAGAAACTGAGATGGCTTTGTGTTGTGGGGAATTATCAAGAGTACAAAGGGACTGCATCTTCAATGATCAGGGAATACAACCCAACCTTTTAATGTCTGATTTCCTGAGTCACCCCTTCAACCCTCCCACCCCACACTAACCTTTGAGATTTATTTGTGACTTTTCCCATTTGACCCCAATTAAATATATTTTGTTGGACCTGTCAAATTTTCCCAGCTTTATTTGAACCTGGAAAGAAGTCAGGGCACATCTTCCCAGGGGCCCCTCACTCTAGGAGGGGAGACCTGTTCCACTTCCCAAGGGTTTGAGTCCGCAGAGACTTCTAACTGCTGAACAGTGATCTTAGAATTTCCAAGTTCTTCCAAAGTCGTTCAGGCTATGACACCGTGTCTTGAAAGTAATTTAGTGGGAGATAAACTATGGTCAATTATTACACCACAGGCCTAAGCTGTAGGATCATTGGCATATATTTCATATTTCTGGTGGTTGAGAAAGGGGATAAAATGATTTCTTCAGGAAGTTGCTAAGTACTTTAGTTGGCAGTTGAGGAGAGTTGGGCTCGGCCCGCCTTCCCACTTCTATTCATCCAGTAGGATAGAAGGGGCTTTATGCTTTATGCTAGCTTCGCTGACTAGAACCTGAGAACGGAACTTGGAGTGCTCCCAGAGAGCCAGGTCATTGTAATTAGCAAAGTCTGAGGACCTAAAGCTAGCACCTTACCACCACGAAATGCTACATACCTAATGCCACCACTCACCTGAGCTATGGCTCAACTACTTAAAACATTGTGTGGAATGTTACCTACTTTTTACAAAGTGTATTCGCATGTTTTCTCAAACAGTGTCTTTGTGAGGTGGACATTAGGATTTCCGTTTTATAGGCTCAGGTTAAATCAGAGGCACAGGTGGAACTTCTGACTCATACGTCTGGGAAGACCTTATTAATTATAATAATGTCTCTCACAACAGCTTTGTAAAATGGCAGTTATCCTCATTGGATAAAAGTTGAAGTAGGGTCAGAGAAGTGAAGCATCTCAACCTCAGCTTTGTGAATACAGAGCCCACTCACGTTTGTCTTGTGCTTCCCTAAAGGCAGGCTGTTCAGAATGATTCTGATAGTACAAATATTCAGGTGATAGAAGTAGTTTTTTACTTTGTGCAATGCGGATGTCCTTAAGTCTAGGATGGTATAGCATCTGACTTGTGTTACCTTTTACTGAATTTTCAAAAATATGAGATTAGCTATAAATTTCAACTTCTAGAAATTGTAACTACTAACTTAATGCATAAGCGTTATTTACCTTAAGTAAATCCTTTTTAAAAATCTGTTTGGGAAAACCTTGAAAAATCTAAAGATTTGTAAGGCTTTGAAGACAAAAGTTTCGTATAAATGTAGACATTAAAAGTGGAAGTCGGGGGCCGGCCGAGTGGCGCGATGGTTAAGAACTCGCTTGGGATGCCAGAGGGCCCCGGTTCGGATCCCACATATGAGGGCCAGTGACACTGCCCTCTACAGCTAAGATGCTGAACAACAGCTCAACCTGGAGCTGGGCTGCCGTGAGTCGCCGGCGACGGCGTGGGCTGCAGTCCCTGTGGCAGTGGATTGCCATGGGCTACCGTGTGTGGCCAGCAGCCAGCGTGAGTGGCCAGCAGCCGCAGTGAGCGGCCGTCCAGAAGCCGGCGACTGATCTGCCTCGCCAGAGAAGAGCGCAATGATGGTGCCAACTTGGGCCAGTGAAGCAACATCCTCCACAACTAGATTGAAGAACAAAACGACAGCAACTTGTCTGTTCCCCTTTCCCCAATTCCCCAGCACTGTTCCCATCCCCCCAATTCCCCAATTAAAAAAAAAAATCTTTAAAAAAAAAAAGTGGAAGTCGGGTGTTAGAATGCCTGGGGTCCCCATGTGACCTTGGCCAAATTACTTAATTCGCTATGTCTCAGTTTCCTCTGGTAAAATTGGGAATAATAGTAATAATCTCTTAAAATTGTGATGATCAAATTAGTTAATACATATGATTTTGCACTCAAAATGTTGGTTAGTCTGTATACAAATAATTACATATAATTTTAAAATACTGCAGCTTAACATTGTTAGCTAAAACTGTTCTTCTAATACATTAATTTCAGATTAAGTTCCGTCCTACAAAATTCTCACTGTTCTCAATACCATTAATTCTTATTTTGTAAGTGAATTTCATCATAGATTTGCACATATCACTCAATTACTGATGTTGCAAATGAACCAGCCAGTGATTTTTGGGTTTTGTTTGGCTTTTAAAAAATACTCAAAATAATGATTACAATAGTTACAAATGCATTGTGTTGCTGAAGCTCATATGTAAATTTGGAATTCAGAATACATTACAGAAACAACATTGCAAATTGTACCCAAATTAAAACCCAGAAAGTCAGTTTCCGCTCATAATATGTTAAAATGGTAATTAAGTTTGTTTCAACTATACAGGATCTCCACTCATAGCATTGTTTCTCTGGAAAAATGCACCGGGGGAGCCAAAAAAATGAATACACATGACTTGTAGTCATCTTTTGTTAACAGAATATATTGAATATTACAATTTTAATAGTTTTTTCCTTTCTTAAAATGTGTATACATTGTTTTGGCACGCTCTGTATTTTAGGCATTGGGTTACCAGAAACTCATTTTTCTGTTCCTCAACCTTTTTTTCCCCAGTGTGTCCCATCTTCCCTTCCCATTTGGTGGTGTTGGGTAATTGTCTAGCTGTCTCAGGAGAGCCATATTTCTGACAGCAGCTGCTCCCAATATGAGCGGGAAAGTGTTGGTTCTGATGCCGCAGGCAAGGCCCGTCCTGTGTAATGTTGATGTATTTGTGTATGTACATGCAAGTGGTTCTACTGATGTTTTAGAAAAATCACAAGGAAACTCACGTATCAGTTTTGTTGGCTTGCAAGTTGAGTTCCAGCCCACAAAATTCCCACCAGCCTCCCTCCCCTCAATGCAAAGAATGTGGCTGATAAATCAGATTCCTGTACGTGGCTATGCCTCTCCTCTGAGGATACCTGGAGGATGATCAGAGGGTAATGCTTACCTGTATGAAAACACTGTTTGCCAAACCAAATCCTTGCAGTTTCAAATGCTTTACCTCATTTGATATGTAATAATCTTGTGAAGTGGGTCCTATTTGTGCAACTCAAGAAGAGACGCAAAGTGGTTATTAAGTTTGTGGCAAAAGAAAATGGAGGCTGTAGTCTCGGTCCCCAGTCCAAAGCTCCTTGTATGTTACCGTACACCCCCCAGTAGAGAGTAAAGGGACCCAGGAGGCCAAGAAGCCAAATACCAGCCTGACGGTAGGATCCCATTCTGAACCCAATGGGGGAAGTTCCCTTCTTTAAGGACTTAGGACAACTCCACACCTAAGGAAAATGTCCTTTATTTAACTTCATTTAACTCTTTGAGGTAGTCAGGGATTTGACGTTAGGGTTTCCAGAAAACATTATGCTGTTGTAATAATACTCACTTTTGTTTTTCCCCAATGCTGCTTTTGCAAGGAGGTAGGAAAATGGCAGCTTTCCACAGTTACAAACTCTGTAGCGAAACACTGGGATATTCCTGAGTTTTAAATGCGAACAGATCCTCTCGGTGTTGAAATCACAGCTGTGTTATCTAACAGCGTTTGCTGGCTGCCTGCCCACCCCTTCCTGCTAGACCTTGGGCAGTCTGCATGAGGATGTTATTTGTCCTGGATGCCATCTGCTTGTTGTTTTAACGGTCATCTTCTTGGACGTAGGCCAGCAGAGGGTCATGGGGGTGTCCTGTGTTAGCCCATAGTGCTTTGTCTCTTCTACGTGTGGGCAGCCTATATTGTATGCTTACACAGTGGGCTGTGGGCACTTTCCTTAGAATCAGACGCCTG